GACATTATCTATGATCTTGTACATGAGGAACATCTTTATCTTCCTAGATTACCATGGCCACGCCCTGCCTGGGTGTACTCTGATGCAGACATTAAAACAAACGTAACTGTGACATCTTTACCTTACTTTGACAAGAACGTAACCTTTCAAAAAGAAGCAAAATCGTTGTGCTATAAGCTCTATTTYGAAAGTCAGCTACACAGCAGCTGTAAGTCTCTCAAAGCCGAGATTGAATTCCACTATATGCTCTGTATTCATGATATTGGAACAAGTGGAGTGCTGTCATCCTCGCTTGGCGCCCTTATYACATTCGCCGATCACTGTGAAACTGCTCTAAATCTATCATTTTGGCCCGCTCAAAAACTTTGTAATTCGATTCCCGGYGCTGYGTTYCCTAACTGGATTGGCGACATGTGTGACAAGGCCTGTGTGTTTGGAAGAGCTAAAGTTGATGACCGRAACATCTGTGTTTGTAACCATGGATACTGGGGTASTGATTGCTCAAGGACCTGTCCTGGTGGAATACTCACAACATGTGGTAGTCATGGATACTGCGATAAACAATCTGGAACCTGTATWTGCGACATCAACTGGCAAGGCAATCAGTATTGCACGTCTTGTAGCTCGGGTTGGTTTGGACGTAGTTGTCAATTTGCTGTAACTAAGGTTGGAAGTTCATCTCGTGCACTACAAATCGCGTCCATAGGAAATTTTGGTTATTACAARTCGTTCAGTGGGCTGTGCTTCACCTTGCGTACTCACGGAGAGTTCTATCTTCTTMGCTCAACCGTACTCAACTTTGCAATTCAAATACGACGCGGGTTTTGCAGTGGCAGTCTGTACTCTACAACATGTRCAGTTGCAGTTGCCTTTAGTTACAAGAACGTCCGAATCGCTATCAGAGCACCTTTGACCACCGTCTCGAAAACAAAAATTACATTCCCGCTTATCTGGAGAAACGGGAGCCCCATCCGTGTTGACCACTTTACTCGCATTGGTGTTSACTTTGTCATGGTGCGTATCTCTAACGTCGCTTACAGGATAACTGGACCCAGTGGAATTAACTTTGTCATTACGGTTGGCCAGAGTTTAGGGCTCACAGTTAATTGTCCAAAGATGTTTTGTCGAAACTCTACAGGTCTTCTTGGATCATGTTCTTATAAACATTTCAACAACACTTYGWCWGTTGAGAATACATATAAAGATCTTATCACGGGTGCAGCGGTCGGTCAAAGAGACTCTCTWTTTCAATATGCCTATGGTGGTTATCAAGAACATCGAATCATAACGGGTGCAGGATTTTGTGTAMGGTTTACGGATAGCTTTGTGATTTCTAAATCTTTGGTTATTCCACAAGTCGATGTACTGACACTAGAACTTCTTGTACGTATAAGGACTTATGGTGGTGTARTACTTTCCTTTGCGAATAAGAACACATTTGCAGTAATCAGTGAAAAGACATTAAAGATAGCCTATCACAATCAAGTGTTTGATACAAGAATTGCWTTGGAGACCCAGCAATGGAATCAAATATCATTGGTGTTCTATCARTTCATAGGGAAACTTGAAGTTCACTGTTTTGATCATGTAGGCGAGCTCAAAGTAAGAGTATTCATGCTTGATAGAAATGTTTTTGCGTCTGGAGGGGTRCTTGCCTTTGGACAGTGGCTTCCATCAATCGAACGAGCTCAACCTCCCAAGTCAGTTTTCTATGGCGACRTTGACGAGGTAAAGATGTGGCAGCGCAGGACAAACCCGGATATCATAAGAAGAAATCAAAATCTAAATGTTCTTCCKGGAATCTACCCAGATCTGTTGCATCTTTGGAAAATGAATGAAGTCGAAGGCGCTGTCATTAAAGATAATGTAGGTAATGATGACCTTTACATGAAAAAATTCCACGAACCAGAGAGARATTTCTCCAACGCCGATGTACCATTTGTAGATCCTAAACGAAAACCTACTGGAACCAAAACAGCCGAGGGAAAGTTAAGAGACRTTTGCAAGGATACACTTCTTGAAGGCCCWCTTCATGAAAACTGTATTGAATTAGGTGAAACACTTGCTCAGTCGTACTATAACTCATGTGTATATGATACGAGTGTTTCGGGAGATCCTGAGTCAGCAATAGATTCYGTCRTTGCATTTTCYGACTACTGTCAACAAGCATTGAACTTAAAGGAATGGCCAGCTCGTAAACTTTGCAATCATTTTAAACGTAGACGGTTTCCTGATTGGGTTGGCCCTCTTTGCGAACAGAGGTGCAAATTTGGTTATTCAAACTTTTCCGAAGACAACCCTGGAAATCCCACTTGTAAATGCGAAGAAGGATACTGGGGGAAGAATTGTTTAAATCTTTGTGATGGCGGTCTGTTCAACGTTTGTAATAGTAAAGGTACTTGTGATGATTCAACTGGACAATGTAAATGCTTCGATAAGTGGAATGGTACGGACCAAAACTACAATATCAATCGTAAACTACCTTGTTCAACATGCACACAAGGCTGGATGGGAACGGACTGCTCTATAGCGGTACAGGCACCGCCTGAAAGTGAACATAAACCRCAGCGTATGTCTATAAACTTTGGTGATCCTCACTTTACAGCAACTGATGGGGTGAATTACAATTTTGAAGTTCCAGGAGCATATCACTTGATGATACATAAACTATTTTCCGTTCAAATGCTTCAAGTACCATGCAATARTCAAGTGTCCTGCAGAAGAATAATGGAAATTGTGATAAAAACTGTACCTTTTACACTTTCTGTAAAATRCATGAACCTTACAACGACCAAGACGGTACTCTACGATCAATCTAGATCCAAAGAACGGACCAAAGAACTAACTATAACAAAAAGTGACCAATACAAGCGTCTTCCTTCGGCTGAGAAGATAAAGTCTAAATATCGCTGGCTCACTGCTGATATACTCGAGCTGTACTTCTCTAAAAAAGAAAGAATATACATTCTTATGTCGAAAGGWACCCTTGGAATAGCTTTTGAGCTGCCTGCGGAAAGCATTCAAGCGACGAAAGGTTTGTGTGGTGTGACCAAGCAATGGATAACAAGCTTAACAAACGTTACAAATGGAACTAAACTCAATCAAAATTACATCGATAGGGAGTTGTTCRCGTCGCAACGGGTTGGTGTCGAGAAAATAGTGTTAACTAGCGCATTTGCTCGGCAGACGATAACATCTTCAGGTTTTGCTATGGATCTCACTAATAATTATCTAAGCCTAGTAATGGATTCCAGTCTYCCTACCATGGATGAGTTCACAATAGAGTYTTGGGTGTGCTTAGTAAATGCAGATTCGTCRGTGGTGAARTTGTGCTCTTCTTCAAAGGGAAATAYAACAGCCCTTACCAAYAAACATGGTTTATTCTCGATGTCATCAAATACCAGTACATTTGCTATCATCTATGACAAGGGTATTCAAGTASTATTRAAYGGGAAAACTATCAACACMAGCTTGACCATTTATGAAGGTGTCTGGACCCACATCGCMATCACGTGGCGTTCTAATGATGGGCGTGTGAATGTCATGACGTCAGGCAAGAATTACAGTGAAGATATGTTTGGTGTTTATATGGGTGYAAAGTTTGTCCCTGTCGGTCTGGTGTTAGGTAGAGCTATGRACAGAGACGGACAGATTGTCCAGGAATATATTCTCCGTGGTACAATGGATGAGCTACGAGTATGGCAGTATGCAAAAAACAAACACGATGTCTCTTCKCTAARAAATATGAAGATWAACTATCACAGCGGACTTCTGATAGTCCTTCCTTTGGACGAAGGATATGGYAGCTTTGCGTTAGGCAAGATGTACAACCCTATTAACGTTTCTCCTGCTATTCCTAAAGAACAGCCAAAAAGTCAAGTCGGAAAAKACATTACATTCATAGCAYATCCTCAAAGTGTTGCACCKGTKTGGCTAGCGTCAGGTATTGCAGTAAATCCTCCAACAGACTACAAAGTACTCTTCAGAAATGAAAGTCTTAGAGATCAAGCAGTCAAGATATGTAAAGAATGGTTCTATAGTGATAAAGTCCAAGGTTTACAACTATGCAGTACTGCACTGGTTGTTCAAGCACAGTTTTATTACGAAGCTTGTATTGCAGATATAGCTGACTCAGGTAGCTTGGCTCACTACAAGCTATCAGTGAGCTTTTTTGGATTGTACTGTCAGCGGGTGCTCAATATCAAAGCATGCTTACTGCATGGGACATTCGATGCATTTCCACCATGCAAGAACTCAAATGAAGAAAAGGGTACAACTATACCTGTTGTCGTCATTACTACTGCTACAGTAGTTCCTTTATTGTTTATAATCTTCATTATCGTTATCGTTCTTATTATCTGTAAACGAAGGAGAAGAAAAAAGAAACTTGAAGGACAAACTAACGAGCCGAAAGGGCTTCGCAGTTACACTTTGTCTGGACAAGGAGTTGCTTTTTACGAGATGAACGTTTTACAACATGAAAGTGATCAAGAGGGTGATACTTCTGCTTCACCATCAGTTCCTGGAAAAGATAGCCTTTCTAAAAAGGAAACCYATCAAAGTGCAAAAGTACTAATGTATGGTAATGTTGGTTCTGACTCGGGATCTGAACAAGACGATACATTTGGYGAATCAGCWCAAATTTCTCCCAAGAAAACAAAAARGATTTCACTCTCGGAGGACACTTCAAAGAGAACCAAAAARYCGGAAAAAGACATCGCTAAAGAAGAGTGTCCAAGTAAAGCATTACTTTTGTACGAATCGGACTCTGAGGATGATGCCAATGTTGATTYTAAATTCAACCTCTCTTGCCGATCATCCGATTCTGACAGTRAATCGAAAGCAACAAAGACTGGACCATCCCTGAAAACATTTGGCTCAGATCGATAAATAATCGATAAACATTGATAGATGATCGATA